AAGGGTGCAACAATGAGTGAATGGAATCCCAAAATCTCTGTAGATGTTCACTGAAATGAAAAATAAACAACCTAAATTTAAAAAAAAAAGAAGGTCCCATTCATCTATTTTATCTTCTGGTTGTAAATTTTTCGGGATGCTTGGAGGACTCTTTGTGTTGTGGATTAGGACTGCTGGGGTTCTTCCAAGCTTTTCTTGAATGAAGTTTATAGTCCTTGGTTTTTTATTTACATCTGTTTTTAAAATAAAATTTTTATTTAAAAAAAAACCTATTCACCTAAGGGAGCTCTGGTGGCCTAGTGGCAAGAAGCTACACTGCAATCCCAGATATGCCTGGTTCGAATCCACCAGATGCTCTGCTGGAGAAGGAGGGACAATCTCCTCCTGTACCAGTCAGATCTGATTTGACGGTACAATGCACAAAAAATAATAAAATTTAAAAAATTTTTTAAAAAACCACAAACCTATTCACCTGAGAAGGAAACCCGTTAATGAGCCCTGAAGAAAGGAAGGGAAGGGAAAAAAGTGATGAAGTGGGATATATTTCTAAACCAAGGAATCACTATTCAGACCTTCTGCTGAGGGCTGAGCTCTCAATAGAGAACATGAGGGTTCACCATCTAACAGAGAAAGATGCTTAAACAACAACGTTAAGAACATGAAAACAACTGCAGGAATCTCTAACTTAGCCAGGGAACATGAAAAGCGTCCAAGTGTAGCTGAACACGAGCAGAAACTTCTCAAGAGGAGAATAACCACACTTACCATTGATAAAAACAAACTCCAACTCATTGCCTTTGTGTCAGAACTGACTCATACATAGCTGACCCTCCAGCAGTTTTTCAGAAGCTGTAAGTTACAAGGAAGGAGATTGTCCACCTTTCTCCCTCAAAGCAGCTGGTAGGTTTGAACTACCTGCCATTGGGTTGGCAGCCCAACTCTCTACTGACTAAACCACCAAAGCTCCTTTTGTTAGCTGTAATTGACAGCTCATACTACTGAGTTCTATGCACCTGGGGGAGGCACACACTGTGCTGGAACTAAATGGTTAACAGTTCAAACCACACCCACCACCTCCAGCAGCACTCAGAAGAAATGCCTGAATGCTCTGCTTCTGAAAAGATTATAGCCCAAAAAAATCCCTGTGGAGCAGTGGAGGCCACCTTGAGTCAATACTGGACAGCACGGTATGAACCAAGAATTCTACATGATTCTCTTTCCTTTTCACTTGATCCTCCTAACAGTTCCAGGCAGTGCACTATTATCATCAACCTCTGTTTCAATGGGGTCCCCGAGTCTCACACAAGTTAAGTAGCCCACATTCACAAAGCTCACAAATGAACCCAGAGTCCCAGCTTTTCACCACTTCTTACTCCAAACACATGGAGGGGCAGGGGAGAGACTAAAACAACTTCCAGGAGCTCAATGTAACTGAGTATCTCTGCAGAATTTATATTTTTATTTTTTTTCTCTGCAGAATTTTAAGAGAGGAAATACCATAATCAAGATGGGTCAGATCAGTAAGGTCTTGGAGCCTTTCTTCTTATTATAAAAGTCCAGCGGAGTCAGGAATGGTTGTGATCTGATCGTTCTAACACCAGAGAGAAGCAATAGAGGTCAGGTTGGAAGGTACCGCTGAGTTGCAGGCTAGTTAAGGAAGATGTCGGAGGGAAGAGGAGAAGAGGTATTGGAGATATTCATAAAAACAAAACTGACCATCTGGACGTGCGTGCGGACGGACAGCGGGAGGAGGCAGCCCCGCCCCGCCCGGCGCCCCTCTCCTCCAGCGCCCGCTCACCTTCGCGGTGCGGATCAGGCGCTTGGCCACGTCCAGGTCGCCCTGGTGGTTCTGGCCGATCTCGGCAATGATGAAACACGGGTGCTGCCCGCCCACCCAGCGCCCAGGACACAGTTCCAGCTCCAGAGGCATCGCGGCGGTCGCACCCTGCCCGCTTCTGTGCGGGAGCCACCGCCTAGGGGCCCTTTGGTTGGCAGCTCAGCTGGGTCTGCACCGCCACGTCAGCCCGCGTCGGCCGCGCAGCCAATCCCCAGACCCCATCTTCCTTACCACAGCCAATCGGGAGAAGGGGCGGAGCGTCCGCGGGACAGCTAGCCGGAAGGCCAGGCCTGACTGGCTGAGCGCGCGACTCCTAGAATCGTGGCCGCCAGACCCCGTGAGGTCCCTGCGGGAGCCTGTGAACCGTCCGCTTGTCCCGGTTCAGTGCAGTTCCAGCTCACCTGGCCGTGCAGACTGCGCGTCGCAGTGCTAATGGAAACAACTCACATTCTTGGGTTAAGTTTAAAAAACTAATTCAAGTTTCTGCCAATCAGTCCCCTCCCTCTTTGATCATGCATTTTTTCTGAACATTGTTTTCCTTTTTCTTTGAAACTAGGAAATATAGCTCCTATATCGTCCAGTTCTTTGAGGTCAAAGATCAGTTATGAGACCCAGTAACCTAGTGGCAAGAAGCTGCGCTGCAATCCCAAATGCCTGCAGTTCATATCCCAACAGTTGCCCTGTGATAGAAGGATGGGCACTCTCCTCCCGTGTGATTAACTAAACTGCTCCACTCGACGGCAATCAACAACGACTCTCTCTCTCGTTGTTGATTGCCATCGAGTTAAGGTTGACTCAGTGACTGAGCAAAAGACCTAATGCCTTTCCATAGCTATCATTGTTTCTTCGAGTTCATAAGGTTTCCAGAGGCATGTGGTTTAGGAAGTGGATGCAGTCCTGCTTCCCGACTTGTTTTACAACTGGGAGTTCCACCAAACACTGTCCACAATGGAAAACCATTCTGATATTTGATATCCCCATGGCACAAGGCTCCGCATCACAGAAAACCCTCATATAGCACATTGACAAAGAGTGCTGTGTAAAGTGGAAGAATGTTCCTCCAGATATAACAGCACTAGTCTCATTTAGCAGTGGTTCAGCGTTGTCAAGTCAAATATGACTCAGAGTAGCACAAAAGACCTGAACTCTCTTCTATAATTAACATCATTTCTGTACATTTAAAAGAGAGTTTGTAGAGTTTTCAGAGGCTCCTAGATTAGGAAGTGGATGCAACTCCTGCCTCCCACATGAATCAATCGGGAAGCTTATCCAAACACTGTACATAATGGGTAACCATTATGGTATTTGACACCACTATGGGATAGTGTTCAGAATCACCACAACGACAAGTTGTTCAGTACAGCAAATAGACAAATGATTGCTGTGTCTTTTAAAGAATATTCTTCTAAAATTAATAAATTTGGCCCAAGGGCCCTCCAGGATTTTAAATCCACACCCTCGAGCAGGGCTCCGCCCTTACCCTTAGTCTAAGGCTCAAGGGCCACCGACTTTGGGGGGGGGGGTGTAAAGAACAGTAACACATCACAAAAAGGACCCCAGAAACTTCCCTTTCCTGACTGCCATCAAGACAAAACAACCATCAAGACAGCTGCCAGCCACCAGTCGACTTCCAGAGTGGAGGGAGACTTCAAGTCTTCAGGCCGTAGGCCAGCCCACAGACCCATCTCCTCATCAATGTGTGGAATTACTATTTTACATATATGTATATATATACATATATATATGTATATGTATATATATATATATACACACACACACACTCACATACATACATATATATATATTCTCACTCTAATATATATATGCTGTTGTTGTTGTGTACCATCGACTCAGAACTGACCCACAGTTGACCCTCCAGCTGGTTTTCAGAGGCATTTAATCACATGGGAGGAGAGTGCCCATCCTCCCATGGAGCATCCTTCTCCCATGGATTTAAACGATGTGCCTCTGGGATTGCAGCACAACTTCTTACCACTAGACCACAAGAGCTGATAGATAGATGATAGATAGATAGATAGATAGATAGATAGATAGATAGATAGATAGATATAGTACAACATATACAAATACAGAAATACAAATGTTCACAACTATACCTATCTAAGGGAACTCTGGTGTGTCAGTTTTGTAAACTTATACGTATCCAAATACATGTGAGACTGAGCTACTGGACTTGAAAGCTAAGGGCCACATTCCCAGGAAACATCTAGGACAATTGATATAACAAGTTCCTGGGAGGGAAAAAAAAAACAAGTTCCTAATTTTCTGCATCATCCTAGTTTGGTGAGTGGTATCTGGGGGTTTAAAAGTTTCTGAGGAGTCATCTGTGATACAGCTGTTGGCCTGTTACCATCTGGAGCAAAGGAGAGTGAAGGAAACCATAGACTCAAGGAAGCAATTAGTCCACAGGACAATGACCCGCAGAAACCACAGCCTCCTATGGCCCAAGGCTGGAAATGAGCAATGCCCTGTAACACTATCAGTTGCTCTATCAAGGAACACAATAAAAGGGCCAGGTTAGAACTGGGGGAAATGTAAAACAAACTTAAATTCCTAAAAAAAAAGAAAAAACAAAAGACCACACCTCAGATTTCCTCTACTGAAAGAGACTGGTGGAACCCCCAAGACTATTGCCCTAAGATGTCATTTTAGCCTGGCAGTTTCAGAGGGTTTGGCGAAATAATAGATTAACTTTAAACTTTTTGTTAGTGTGTATACAAGTGAATTGGAATAGACCCTCCAGCTGACCTTCCAGTGGGTTTTCAGAGGCAATAAATCACATGGGAGGAGACTACCCATTCTTCTCCCTCCCAAGGATTCAAACCATTTGCCTGAGGAATTACAGTGCAGTTCCTTCCCACTAAACCACCAGAGTTCTTGGTCTAGTTGGTAGGGAGCTGCCTTGGTAACCCAAAGGTGGTGTCCTAGATGGCAGTTTGAATCCACCAGTTTGAATGTTCTTCCTGGAGAAAGATGGACACTCTGGTCCCCTGTGATTTATCCTCTCTGAAAACCTGCTGGAGGCAGGAAGTAGCTAAGAGAATACGCCGTCCCCTTTTCCTTATGACTCAGGGTGAAGTCTCTCTCAGGGAGGAGTGATAGG